AGTCCAGCGTTTTGGACTACAACTGCCGGAATCTCCCAGCCCATCGGGATAGAGGATCCTGGGAGATGTAGTCCAAAAAGGGTACTTATCCCAGCATGGACACACTTACCTGGGAGTCATCCTCTGAAGGCAAGGCACTAGGAAAACGTACCTGGGCGTCTGGCTCTGCACAAGCCCAACAGTGTTTGTTCCAACCAGGGAGTGTTTGAAGTGAATAAAAGAATGAGCAAATCTCTTGGTTTCTCCCATATCTGGCTTTCCCCAGGATTGGTCTGACTTTGAAGACTGCCAGAAATAGTGCAAATTGAGTCCACTTTTAGGGTTAGGGTTAGGGAATCATGTGAACTGTAGTTTATTGTGGCACCAGAGCTCTCTGACAGAGAAGGCTCAATGTCTCAGAAAAAAATAATAATTCCCATGATTTCCTAGCACTAACCCTTACCCTAAAAGTGGACTCAATTTGCACTATTTCTGGCAGTCTGCAACCCCCCTTAGTTCAAAAACCCAAGTGAAGCAAAATCCTCCTTCATCCCTCGATGGTGAGAAGCACAGTTCTGGGCTTCTTTTTCTTCCAAAAGTGAATTTTAAAATTTATGATAAAACCCTGATCGAGACCGAACTGAAAATCATTTTTTGTCCATACAATATCCCAGTAGGAAATTAATGTGGCCTCAGAAACTGAGGGCTTTTAAATGTGTGGCTGTATTGTGACCTCAGGAGACATCACATTATGATGCTGGTGTGTGTGTGAGAAAGAGAGAGAGAGAGAGAGTAGTGGGTAGCTTGCTTTCATTCATTATGACAAGGAAAATACCTCTCCTTTGTCATTATATAGTATAGGTATACTTCAGTTAACAAAGCCTAGTTAACAAAACTCTTCCTCTTTCCAACATAAGTGTCCAGAGGCAAGATCAAGTTAGTTTTAAAAGTTCTTAATTCAACAGCTTCTCAAAGAGACACAGTCCCAAAACTTTAGATCTGCCCCAGGATGCTTCCTCCAGATCCTCTCTAATGTTCAGCGGATGGGTGAGAGGTACAAGAGAAGTGTCTTTAAAATTATGCTGAGAACTCAAAAGAAACTCCTGTGGAAAGGAAGACCAAATCATCCTGAATACCACTGGGAGCCCCAGCTAGAGGAGGCCTATAAAATCCATATTTCAATGGTGAGATAACATTGATGTGGAACCCATTGATTCAATGGTTCTAGCTAAGCTGAAACTAATAGCAGGGGTAGGAACTGTGTGGCCCCTCCAGATGAATAACAGAACCTTAGAGTTGGAACAGACCAGAAGGACCATGCAGTCCAGCCCCATGCCCTGCAGGAAATCACAATTAAAGGATCCCTGACAAATGGTCATCTAGCCTCTGCTTAAAGACCTCCAAAAATGGAGACTGTTCCAGATATTGGAGTGCAGTTCCCAGCAGTCACAGCCAGCAGAGCCAATGGTTAAGAATGCTGTGAGTTGCTGTTCAATGATGTCTGGAGAATTGTTTTTCCATCCCACCCCCTTAGGATATCTATCTACTATACAGAATCTGCAGTGTAGGCAAATAGATAGGGCAGAGGATTGGATTAGATGGCCTTCCAATGCTTCAGTTCAGTTCTATTCTGTTCTATTCTACTCTAGTCAGCCACTGGATTTCCAGGAGGAAGACATGCAACACAAGTACATTGGTGCCTTTTCCTTTGATCAATTACGATGAAACTAATAAAAATTAAAACCCAGCTCTTAGTTTATACATTCCCTATTCCCAAGATGGACTCATGAGCCTTGAAATCTCGATCATTTGGAAGTGGGAGAGTCATGTAGACAATTGGTGACCCTTGGCTCCTCACATTCCTTGTCTCTGTCCCATGTTTAACGCAGATAAGCACAGATAAGAAGGAAAACTTCCTCCTTGATTTATAAGTGTTAATCCAGAAATTCCTCACTTAAATGACAGATTCTTTGTTGTAAATGCCCAAGGTTCCTGTTGACTGAATTTTACATACTATTTATTTTGAGAAACAGATCAGAACAACCCTAGCCATCTCTGGGACAGCCCAAAGGTATTGATGAAATGGTAGGCAGAGAAAATGTGCTTTGATCTAAAGATGTTAATGTTTCCAAGTTGTAAAAGAGCATAAAACCTGGACCCTGAGAACCATTCAGTTGTCTCACTTGAACTTTCCAGGTGGACCCATTTCTGCTACAAAAACACACTTTTCCACCCTACACCTTCTGCCGATTTGGACCATCTCTGCTGGGTAATGAATCTCACTCTTCTAACATTTACACCAAAGAGAGATATATAACTATGGCAGGAACCAAAATCACCTCCTTGGTTTTGGTCAAAAAGCAGCTCCAGAAGTTACTAAAAAATGGCTGAAAAACCGGGATTTGAATCGTGCTTTAAAACAGGGGTGGACAACTAAGAGACCGTAGAGAGCCATAACCCACCACTGTACCCACTTCCAAATAAAATAAAATAAAACAGCCAGACGCCCCAATTCCCTCAGTGGGTGTGGGGGAATCTTTAGGCCCCCTGGGTCATTTTAATCCCAAAAGAGGCCCTTACAAATGACAAAATAAGTGATCAAAAGTTACTTCTTGTTTTTTTTAAAGGCCTTCCTTGGATCTCAAATGGGCCGGGAGGGGGAGGGAAAGATATGGAGAAAAGTTCGCCATGCTTCCAGAGGTATTCGAGGGGGGCAAGATTTTTGGCGAAAAAGATTTTTGACACCCCCGGGGGGGGCTGCATGTTACCCACAACCTGCCTTTTGGCTTTAAAATGTTATTGTTGCTCCAGATATGGTCATTTTGTCATTCCCCTAAAAGAAACTCAGAAGCATTTTGACAAAGTGTGTGACCCACACATGCAGTGTCTGGGCTGCCTTTGCCATCTCCTGTACAAGATCATCCAGCCAAGTAGTTATTTGCAAGAATAAAACAGTTGTCAGCTCACCAGTGTGATCCTTCACAGGTCTCCAACAAAATAAAATTCACATCTCCTCCAGAACAATGCCAAACACGCTGCTCTCCTTGGCTCTGGCGCGTCATCGCTGCCGCAGACCATAAATTCAGGAACTGAATTGTGTTCTTAGGAATAAGAAAGAGTTAACTTTAATCTCAACACTATTGATTTTATAAGCTGCTTGATTAATCTACGAGAGCCAGTGCGGTGTTGTGGTTTGAGAGTTTGGACTAGAACTCCAGGAGACTAGATTCAAATCCCTGCTGGGCCATGAAAATCCACTGGGTAGCCATGGACAAGAGGGATGCAGTGGCTCAAGTGGTTAAGACACTAACTTTGTTGACTGCAAGATTGGCAGGTTGGCAGTTCGAGGCCTGGGTGCTGCATGATGGGGTAAGCTCCTGCCACTAGTCCCAGTTTCTGCCTACCTAGTAGTTCGAAAGCGTGCAAATGGAAGTAGATAAATAGGTACCACTTTGGTGGGAAGGTAAACAGCGTTCTGTGCAATCATGCTGGCCACATGATTACAGAGTAGTCCCTGACAACGCTAGTTCTTTGGCTTAGTAATGGAGATGAGCACCGCCCCCCATGGTCAGACACAACTTGACAACCTTGTAATCGGGAATACCTTTACCTTTTACTTAACCATGGACAACTCACGATCTCTGAGACCAGGAGCAGATGGAGAAGAAAAGCTGGCTTACCCCCCGTTTTGTGGGGAGAACCTGCTGACCACATCACTGGTTCCCATAACACAGAATTATAGAGTTGGAAGAGACCCCAAGGGCCATCCAGTCCAACCCACTGTCATGCAGAACATAGAATCGAAGCACTCTTGACAAACGGCCATCCAGCCTCTGTTTAAAAATCTGCAAAGAAGGGGACTCCACCACACTCTGAGAGAGTGTGTTGTTCATACTGTTAGGGAGTTCTTCCTAATCTTGAGCTGGAATCGCTTTTCCTATAGTGTGAATTCATTGTTCTGGGTTTTATTCTCTGGAGCATCAGAAAACAAGCTTGCTCCATCCTCAACAGCCTGACAACTGACACGCAACCCACACTTCCTCCTCCATCTGAAGATGAAGGACCTGCCATAACAGAGCATTAATGGATACAAGCCACGCTGTGCCATTATTATTTTTCAAGTTGTCGCAGATGCACTGGTATGAGCATATGGATGCTTTGCCAGCACCTTCCGATCACCCTCTCCACCTTGCCCAGTCGCCAGCCCATTAAAAGCCCTGTGCGACCGGCAGCATATCGATGCTCTGAACGAATCTTGCTGAGAAGACCTGTCATAAAGTTACCATAGGGTTGCCATAAATCAGAAATGACTTTAAGGCACACAACAACAACACAACAATCTGTATGAGCCATCACTGGAGCCCAATGTTTTACATTATGGTTTTCTTTTCCCCCTTGCTGATGGTGTTATTTTTGTCTTGCATGCTATGTTTCTTGGATAAAATATGTTTAAATAAGATAAATCTGTCCAGCCCCTAAACCAGACCTTTTGAATGTATTCTCAGACACCAAGTACTTCCCCAAAGCAGCTGACAGTGTTTTTTGTTGTAAGAAGTTTTGGAAGATGTTTATTCTCTAGTACTTCAGAAGGACAGTGAGTCATGCCAATTCTTCTCAATGTTTTGTCCTTAAGAAAGGGCAAAAGCAAAACCAAAAGAACACCCAGTGCTCAGTGAATACACAACCTGAATGCTGTCACTGTGAATGCGGGTTTTCAGAACAATTACTGTAATGCACCTCCAAAGGAGGCCCCCACTGAGTAATGGGATGGTCTTTTATTTCCCAAGCACACAAAAAGAATTCATATTATATTGATAGCCCAGAAATGAGGGGCCAGGATGGCTGGAAATTAAGGGTCCATAATGGTGATTTATTGTTGTGTGCCTTCATGTTGTTGTTGACTTCGGTGACCCGAAGACAACCTTGTCATGGGAGTTTCCTGGCAAGATTTATTCAGAAGTGGTTTGCCTTTGCCTTCCTCTGAGACAGAGACATGCCCAAGGTCACCTAGGAAGTTTCCATGGCTGAGCAGAGATTTGAACCCTGGTCTCCCACGTCCTAGTCCAGTACTGAAACCACTGTATCATACAGCCCTTCCAGATTTATTCAAAGGAGGTTTGCCATTGCCTTCCTCTGAGGCTGAAAGAGTGTGACATGCCCAAGCTCATCCAGCAGGTCTCCATGGCTGAACAGTGATTTGAACCCTGGTCTCCAGAGCCATTATCCAGCATTCAAATCAGTACACCATGCTGAATGGTGACTAGAATTTGATTATTTCTGGTCTATTTGCCATTTATCTGGTTCAATTCAGGTGAGCTGGTGAAAGTGTGTTTCCCACACACTGCCAAATTTTTTACTAAGCTTTGCTCCTGTACCTTTAACAGCAGCCTGCGCTGTAGGCAAAAGAAGGTAAAAATCATAGCCTCCATGTTCTGAAAGTTTCAGCTGCTGGTCTGCTGTGTGCTGGAAGCACAGGAACAGCCCAGGTGGAATTTTTAAATTATGGTCAGCAGCCTTCATATTGTTATACAATCTCACCTGGAATTTCAGTGTGCAGTTCCAAATATGTACAGATTTGCATTTAGTAGAAATGAAGGGATGCTCTGAAGCTGTTCAGGAGCACAAGAAATTACAGTATTTGTTTGGGGAGGGGGAAATCACAGTTGAAATCAATGCCCAGTATTGAAAACAGACGATGAATGGGCTGAGTTTCATGAAAACTTTGGTGCCAGCATGTAAGTATACTAGAGCAGCTTCTGAGTGGCAAATATCTGCTCTAGACCTCACTTACATACTCTGTTTTGCAAATTTCCTATCATGCTGTCTGGACTCATTGCTGGAAATGAAAGTGGTGGTCATTTTGGTTTCTCACAACCCCCCTGTGCAACCCAATGCTCTCTGCATGAGAAGATGTAACGGATTGGCAATCTGTCCAGAAAGTAACATTGGTTCTGACTTAAGATTCATTTGCAGTAGTGAATGATGGTGATCCTTGGGATGGGTTTGAAGAGATATTTGTACCACCCTTTTTTTGTTCACATCATAAAGTCCTACAACAATACCAATTTTAGCATTTTTGAAGAACAGTAACAGTAACTCTTTAATAATTTTTAAAGATACCTTTAACACCTCCGTGTCCCCCTCTAAAAATGGTAGAAAAGAGGAGTCAGGAGAAATATGTCTGTCTCTCTAAAACTCATGCCATCTGCATGTTGTATTTAATAACAGTGAAGCAGGATCTTCTGATGCTCAAAGTGAGGGCATCATGGATTTGGCTAGGGGCCTGCATTAGCCACCTTGGAGGGTCTCACACACACACTTCTGGCAAAAACAAAATTGTCTTCAAATGGCCTTTAGGGAGTCTAGGTTTCCCATGGGCAATTTTAGACCAGGAGAGGCCATTTTTAACAGGAAACAAGTAGAAGTCATTTCAGGCTCAATTTTTGTTTCAAAGAAAAGGGTCTCATGGGTCTACATTGACTAAGGGGGAGACTCAATGCCCCCCAGGCTCCCTAAAGGGGATTTTTGGGCAATTTTATTTTTTCCAGGGGAGGGCTTTTTTGTTTTCGCTCAGCAGTTTGAGGCCGGGAAAAGATATGAAGGCTGAGAACGGACTGCGGAAGTGAATTTTCCTCTGCTGCTAACCTGCATGCATAGTTCTCATAGCAACTGAGGGAGAGATGGACCATACTTGTCATTTTGGTGTTATTTATTCTGCACTATATAACCAATATAGGGCCTTTATAGATTGCCAGAAATAATGCAGCTTGAGGCCACTTTAACTGTCCTGGCTCAGAGCTAGAGAATCATGGGAATTGTATTTTTTTTTTCTGGGACATTAAGCTTTCTCTGGCAGAGAGCTCTGGTGCCACAATAAACTACAGTCCCCATGATTCCTTAGCATTGAGCCAGGAGAGTTAAAGTGGCCTCAAGCTGCATTATTTCTGGCAAACTGTAAAGGCCCATAGTTGTCCATACTGGGCAACTATACCAATATAGGGCCTTTGCAGACTGACAGAAATAGTGCAAATTGAGTCCACTTTAAGGGTTAGGGTTAGTGCTACGGAATCATGGGAATTGGTTTTTTTTTCTGAGACATTGAGCCTTCTCTGTCAGAGAGCTCTGGTGCCACAATAAAATACAGTTCCCATGATTCCCTACCCCTAACCCTTAAAGTGGACTCAATTTGCACTATTTCTGGCAGTCTGCAAAGGCCCATAGTTGTTCATGACAGAGTCATGGACAGAGCATGGATGTGAGAGTTGGACAGTTAAGAAAGACGATAGGAAGAAAATCCATGCATTTGAAATGTGGTGCTGGAAAAGAGTGTTGAGGATCCCATGGACTGCCAAAAGGACCAACAAAAGGCAAGATGACCAAACTGAGGCTGTCATACTTCAGGCACATGAGAAAAGAGGACTCACTGGAAAAGACAACCATGCTGGGAAAAGTGGAGGGAAGTAGGAAGAGGAAGGCCACATGCCAGATGGATAGACTCTATTAAGGAGGCCACGGGGATTAAGGGGTTGCAGGAATTAAGCAGAGCAGTGGAGGACAGAGGGTCTTAGAAATGTCTCATCCATAGGATGGATGGGTTGAGATCGATTCGAGGGCATGAATTGTTGGAAAAGACAATAGTGTTAGGAAACATGGAGGGAAATAGAAAGAGAGGAAGGCCACATGCGAGATGGATGGACTTTATTCAAGAGACTACAAATATGAGTTTGCAGGAGCTGGGCAGAGCAGGAGAGGACAGCGGGGCCTGGAGAGGTCTCATCCATAGGGTCGCTATGTTTTGTTAACAACAAAAAAAAAACCTATATAACCTTTGGGACTTTATCTTCCATCAGCCTCAGGGTGGGAGGGGGATGGACCCCAATCCAAGTGCCCCATATATCCACTAGTGGGGAATTTGACCATCGGTTGGAAATTGTTTAGGTAGAATTAGTTTGCAGATCCAGTTCAAGCACTGGCTATGAGGGGGTGTTGGACTCCATCAGCGAAAGTTCCTCTGCTCTGTACAATCCGCTGCATCATTTACCACCAACAAAGTGTATCCTGTAGCAATAACACGTGTTAGTGTTCAGTATCAAAATAACTGTTGTGATGGCCTGGAATAGCATCCATTTCCACCAGCACTGGAGTTTTTTCTTCTTTTATTTTTAAAGGAGAGAGCCAGATTTTCCAAGGATTTCCATGAAGCTTTATTTAAACATTGACAATACCAGATTCGGGTTAACATTGATTTTCACATGGGTTTGTCAGCTTCGCTAGTGCGTGCAGGTCTTTCTCCGATTACATCAGACACAGAAGAAAGGAAAGTGAGCAGTGGCTTTTTAAAATCCTCTTTGCTGTCATAAACACCTAAAGGTAAAACAAGAGGAGCGAGAGAATGATATTGTGTGTATGTGTTTTCTTTTCAAATATATGCATGTAGATTTGGCAAAGCCAACACCTTCCTGGCAAGATCAGCAGAAAGCAAAAACAGCAAAAACTGCTTGACTTAGATGGCGCCTGCTCTCATACCTCCGATGCAAAATGCCTCACTTCATTCTCAAGGGAACCAGATCATGAAACTCCTTCCTTTAAAAAACAGACTGGCTTCTAGATGGAGCATAATGCTAAGACCTGATGATTTGTTGCAACATGTCCATAGCTATTAAAAAAATAAAACATTCAGCTTCCACTGGACAGGTGGATTAAACAGTAGTGCAAAATCCTATTTGTTTCGGTAAGGGTTCCTCACTTCTCGCATAGACCCTACTTACATACCCCCATATTCTGCTTTGCAAATTTCCTAACGCAAGCTGTCTGGACTCATTGTTGGAAATGGGAAATGAAAAACAAGCTCCACCACTCCCAAGATAATGCCTGGGAGGCATTTTATACCCTTCCTTTAACACTGAAGAAGGAATTCAAAAGGTAAGGAGATGCAGAAAACCTATTTTCTGAGAGGCAGAAACCAGCGCAGGATACAGTTCTGATAATGGAGGCAAAGACCTGCCTTCCTCATAAGCTACACAAAAAACAGGGGGAGGGGAGGGGGATGATCCAGACCAGCTGCTATTTTTAAAAAATCAGAAAAATAGAGGGAAGAGGTGATGTAGTTTCAGCCTCATTGAAGCTGTTGGCAGCACATTTTAACAAAATGTAGTAGAAGAAATGTTGAAGAAAGCTCTACAAGTTTGTTTTTAGTGTTTGAACAACACCATCCATGTTGCTAAGCAAAGGGATACTTTTAATACTGTGTTTCAAACACTCCCAAGAGCTATGAGGAATGAGAGAGTTAAAAAGTAATTAAGTTTTAATGAGTTAGAAAGTAATTTAAAAAATTAACACACATCCAAGTTAATTATTACCAATTGGTCTTGAAAATACTTTTCTGAACAGCATCCTCACTCAGATCCAAGATTCCAAGGACATTATTTTTTTAAAAATTAAACAAAACAAAAACTTAGTCCAAGTAACCCTGGGAGATGCTACTCTTGCAATTTCATCCTAATTTCATAGCTGGTGCAATCGTTGAACTAAGGGACCCAAATTTGGAGATGGAAAAGTTCCCTATTTCTGAAACACTATGTGGGAGTGAGCAGAAAGAGAGGAAATATGAACCAAGGTTAAAAAGGTCAATTTGGCATACAGTGACCTAAGGTAAGATGACAGATTTCATTTTTAAAATGTCAGTATTTTCAAAATGAAGAAAGAGGGGGAAAGAAGGAGTGTGTGAGAGAGAGAGATTGTCTCCTCTTAATTCTTTGTAGCAGCATCCAGCATCCTAAATGTTCAACCAAAAGGTACATTGCTATGCAGCGACGTTAGTGACACCACGTACAGGGCCTGGATGGTGCAAAGGTGAAGACATTTGGTTTCCAGCAGGAGCGCCAACGGAGATTAACAGGACCACAAGCAGCCTTAAACAGGATAAGTCTGCCCCTCACTTTACCTCCACTGTCCCTTTGGATAAGGACATTGAGCTCTGTGCAACACTTCTTAGAACTTGCCACTTGTTTCTGTCCCATTATGCCATTGTCAAGCTTCCTTTCCTGAGAACCGCAGCATTGCTGCCTCTTGTTTGAAACCAGTCCTCACCTTG